CAGTCACAACACGGCTCTTTCTTCTTATGCACCGGGAGCCTCTTGTCGGCCTCAGAGCCATTGCTCTCGTGGGGGGGGTGTGTGTCTTAAAACCAGGGCAGCACCGGACGGGGGCTTGGCGAGGCCTCTCACCAGCGACGCCCTTTAACGAAACCGTGAATAGCAGTGCTCCCCTCTGAGGGGTGACCCCTCAGCCCAGCTGCAGGGAGGCCCAGGCAAGAAGGAAGAGCAGGACACCCTCCGGTTAACGTAGCGCGAGAGGAAAGGGAGGAGTGGGATTAAGGGTGGGCAGCTGCACAGGAAAGAGGGCGGAAAGGCCTAACCCTCAGCCTAGCCATACAGCAGGAGCCCCGTTTCTGTGGGATCACTAGCCTCAGTTTCATTTATCCATGGTCTGAAAATAGTAACAAACAAAATCAAAAGAAAAAACCCAGGGAAAAAAAAACCTATTTTCACATGTACAGTATTACCAGAGAGACCATACTATGAATACTGTATACAGGTACAGTACTTGATTGCAAAGAATGTATAGCATCCTCTAATGGCCAGTGTAGTGTACAGTACTTGATTGTGAAGAATGTATAGCATCCTCTAATGGCCAGTTCTGGTAATGCATGTGAAAATAATTTTTTTCTGTCTCCCCCATTTTACATTATCTTTCTGTCTATCTCAGGTCCTGTAACTGAGGCTTCAATCCTTTGGCCACCTCATGAGACAAGAAGACTCCCTGGAAAAGACCCTGATGTTGGGAAAGTGTGAAGGCAGGAGGTGAAAGGGATGACAGAGGACGAGATGGCTGGACAGGGTCATCGAAGCGACCAACATGAATTTGACCCAACTCCGGGAGGCCGTGGAAGACAGGAGGGCCTGCCGTGCTCTGGTCCACGGGCTCACAAAGAGTCGGACACATCTTAATGACGAAACAACAATATCTATCTATCTATCTATCTAGACGAGTGGGTTGGACAGCGTCATTGAAGCGACCAACATGAATCTGACCCAACTCCGGGAGGCAGTGGAAGACAGGAGGGCCTGCCGTGCTCTGGTCCATGGGGTCACAAAGAGTCGGACACGACTTAATGAGGAAACAACAAAATCAATCAATCAATCAATCAATCAATCAATCGTTTGCTATTATTGATGGTGCAGCTTGGAACCAATCCCCAGCAGATTTGGGGTTTCTGCTGTATTGCCCGCAAGCTGCAACAGATGTATCCTGACTGTTCCCAGAAGGACAAACGCCCAGCATGCAGAAAAGGAGAGGGAACAGGAGACTAGGGACGTTCATACTCTTGGTGGCTTGTTACCATACACAACACAAGACAAAGTCCCCCTTCCTGCCACAAAAAAAAAGGCTATTTGAAAATCTGGACCTGGGTGGGGCACCAAGACAGGCCAGTCAACAAAGTCCCCCTTCCTGCCTTAAAAAAGGCTACAGTATTTGCAAATGTGTACCTGGGTGGGGCACCAAGACAGGCCAGTCAGTTGTGGGCGTGCAATCTGGTTGCAAGAATTACTGCATCTGTTAGAAAATGTGGAGAAATGCAGGGGATGGAAGAAGAAAAATATCCAAGGCCAGCCGTGTGTCATTTGGATGATGGAAACTCATCCAGAAAGTGATGAGCGCTCCCTCCCAGAGTACAGGGTTTGGGACCCACCTGGTTTCACCCCCTTCTGCAGCCTTATAGCTACAAACGAGCGCCATCCATGTCAATAATCCCTGGCCAGCACATGGCTAATGTTGTGGGCTAAATGACTGTTTCAACTGAACCTTTGTTTTTCATTTGTTTTTTAATGTACAGTATAACTTACTGTGTTTTTAATTCACTTCTTTTACCCACATGTTACCGCCTTGAGTCTCTTTATCAGGAGAAAGTGAGCCTATGAATAAGACAAATCAATCAATGCTTTGACAGGAAATCCACCAGTGAGCCGCTCTGTCCAGGTCAAGCTACTAGGATTGGGGACAGACATTTCCAGCTGGACAAGAACTGAGACATCAAGGATCAGTTTAATGGAAGGGGTTTTGCCGTCTAGCAAAGAGCAGCCTGAAAACGAGAAAGCCACAAAGAGTGTAAGGCCCTTAAATCCACAATGGAGATTTGTTATTTTAATGGGTTCTTTGAACACGAGACTAAATATTTGATGTTCGCTAAACAGGGAGGCCTCTTCTTGCAGAGAAATTCTGACAGAATTTATAGCTCATTGAACATCCGCAGCCAGACCTGAAATAGCTAATGAGCTATTATAAAGCCTTATCTAATTGAGAGTAAGATGGACTGGAATACAGCAGATGGGATTAAATTAAATCATGGAGGCTGCAATTATATGAACGTTTAAGACAGCCGCCAATCTGCATTGTTACTTTAGCCCCTTTTAGAAAAGAGAGGGCAAAGTTTTATCGTCTGTAGGAGTTCCGCCAATTGCTTTTTTTTGTACTGTGTGTCCTGTAGGAAACAGATGCTGCCTGTGCACGGGTGGGATGCTTGCTCCCAATTGTATTTGCATTTTACTTATTTGACATGATACCCCTCAGTCACCCCGAATCAAAATGTTCATAGTCGGCATATTTTTGTAGCATTTTCCGGAAAAGACAAACCATGCTGGGAAAAGCAGAAGAGATTGATGAGATGGACGGATTCCCGAAACAAGGAAGCCACAGGCTCGAGTGTGCAAGAGCAGGGCTGTTGAGGGCTGGACCTCGGCATATTAGCATTTTCCGGAAAAGACAAACCATGCTGGGAAAAGCAGAAGAGATTGATGAGATGGACGGATTCCCGAAACAAGGAAGCCACAGGCTCGAGTGTGCAAGAGCAGGGCTGGGCTG